ATTCGTTAATTATTTAATTAATTATTAATAAATTCATTAATTTATCGGTGATCGGTGAATCCAGCAGTTGCAACGCTGCTCAGAAAAAAGAATGTGAAAATGTTTTAAGTAAACTCTTATAGTGCCCTTACTGCTTTGGGTGCATATCGAGGCACATCAATGTGGTGCACAAAAATACATATATCCTGTTTCCTGGATTAATCTCTCCTCCTATCTTATTATTAATAAATCAATCAAATTCATAATTTTAAAATTACCCAATCAACATTGGTTTCTTAGTCACCCTCTCTTTACTTGACGAGCGAAAATGTTCGCACTTAATTTCTGGTTGTTGGTTAGGTATAGCGACATCACACTGAAAAAAAGTGTAAATTAAGTGGACGTTAAAAAGTAATCAAAAAAATATAGACAACGCATGTGTATAAAACGTCCATTTAGAGATCAATTAATGCTCTTATCGCTTCACAAAGACCCAGTGGGGAGAAACAGGAATAACGTCACGACCAATTGGACTAAAAAATCTACTTCTCGGTCAAGATGGTGAATAAGATGCGCGTGTGTTTGTGCGTGTTTGTGTGCATGACGAAGCACACNAGACAGTGAAATGGAAAAGACATCGTGGTATGATGGGAGCAGACAAAAGTTTTTAAAACTTCCCTTATGCGTGTAACTCACATGTAATATCAAACTAATTAGAATCATCAGAAGTTTACAACTTACGTGAAACTAAGAGTAGTTTCGGTACCTTTAACATGGCGCTTGAGAGTTGGTCACCTGCAAGCCAGATCACCGTCCAGCTGTCCTATGAGACGTCCTGTTTTAAGTTTAGGCCCAGAACCTTTACTTTTAAAACAAATGCACTCGAGACATTCTTCCCAATAAAAGAATTTTATACCCATCATTTCAAAATCCTCACCAACCTCCTTAATTTGTTAATTATTTAATTAATTATTAATAAATTCATTAATTTATTGGTGATCGGTGAATCCAGCAGTTGCAACGCTGCTCAAAAAAAAAAAAAAAAAGAAGAATGTGAAAAAGTTTTAAGAAAACTCTTATAGTGCCCTTACTGCTTTGGGTGCATATAGAGGCACAGCAATGTGGTGCACAAAAAAAGACATATCCTGTTTCTTGGATTAATCTCTCCTCCTATCTTATTATTAATAAATCAATCAAATTCATAATTTTAAAATTACCCAATCAACATTGGTTTCTTAGTCACCCTCTCTTTACTTGACGAGCGAAAATGTTCGCACTTAATTTCTGGTTGTTGGTTAGGTATAGCGACATCACACTGAAAAAAAGTGTAAATTAAGTGGACGTTAAAAAGTAATCAAAAAAATTTAGACAACGCCTGTGTATAAAACGTCCCTTTAGAGATCAATTAATGCCCTTATCGCTTCACAAAGACCCAGTGGGGAGAAACGGGAATGACGTCAAGACCAATTGGACTAAAACATTTACTTCTCGGTCAAGATGGTGAATAAGATGCGCGTGTTTGTGCGTGTTTGTGTGCACGAAGAAGCACACGAATAAAACGTGCCTCAATATGAGAGCCAAGCTTAGCCTGTAAGCCTCTACAAAATATCAATTAATAGGTCTCGCATACGAATTTATTCTATCCAAATAACGGATACAGGAATTTTTGAAGGGGAGGGGGGCGGATGCAAACTCGACCCCCCTCTCTTGGTCTGGGGCCTGGGGACGGAAAAATGACATTTTACAGGGCGAACGGTGCCACTTGGTGCGGTTTAAACTTTGATTCAGCTTGCCCAAATTTTAATTTCAAGAGGGGACTATTGGTTTGATTTATTTTCAGAAATCGAAGGGGGTCAGGACCCCCCAGACACCCTCTAAAGCCGCTACTGCTTACCGAACCACTTTACCGGGTTCTTACAGGTAATTCGTCCGGGGGGAGACTCCCTTTCACTGGCCTCAAGGCACCGAAAAGTCAGCCATTTTGGTGACAATCTTACGTGTTAGCCAAACATTTTTAGTTAGATAATTTCAGATGCTGTTATTTTCATTTTGTTTTACACTAAGTTTACGTTTGATTTCACCTGTGACGCTATAGGGCACGTTAAGAGCCAAAGCGGTTCACAAAGCTGTGAGTAGTCTTAGCCATTTTAAACGCCCACTGTTGCCCCGGGTATGAATGTACAGTATGTAGAGTCTTGATAAACAAGGCCAAAGGAGGAGGGGGGATAAAAACAAAATGTATGATTACAAGTATAGCAATAGCGGCAATGTGACTTTTGAAAAAACTTTCTTGCTGATAGTCCCAACTAGCAGATACCTTTTTTTCATGAAAGGGCTGTATGACATGCATAACGCCATGCCGGGTAAGGTATTGACTTAATTCAATTTTGAACTGTTGCGTAGTTGGTAAAGGATGGAGATCAATGACCATTCCTGCCTAAGTATCATTTTTAGGACTTTAAAGCAGAGAAGAGAAATGTAATTGACGACACAGACTCTATGATAATGTCGAGCAATAATTTGTTGTCAAAACCAATGATTAATTCTAAACTATACCGGATTTTATGCAAAAGGTAATTAGCTCGGACACACGTACCGGTATGCCTGCATTCGATTTTGATTGCCGGGCCAGCTAGTTGTTGCGGTGAATTAACACGCGTCACCTGGGATTTGAACTCGTGACTTGCTGTCACCATGGTTTTCTGATTGCTTTTTTTTTTTTTTTTTTTTTTTTGCAACCATTTTTTGCAAACACCCTACCAACTGCGCTGTGACTGACCTACCCACCCTCCGCACCTACGAGTTTCCTCTTATAGTAATCAAACGAAAATTTGAGAAATTATTTCAAGCAAAAAAAAAAAAAAAAATAATAATAATAATAAATAAAAATAAATAAATAAATAAAGAATCACAGTAAAGGTCTCAAGATTCGAACCCACGCCTAGCTGTGCACAGTTTTGTAGAAGACAGCGGTGTTAACACGGAACCACAGAAACTTTAGTGGTAGCAAAGGGATCAAATGGAAACTTTCTACTTTCTCACAGAGAGGGCCAGTTTGGCTGTACATGTATTAATCTGCCATAACAATCAATATGCCGAGAGCCGTACTCACTAATTCATCCCGCACATCGAGAGTCTGCAAACATGGTATAATAGTACCACCAGCGTTGGAACACATGGTTTTAGTCCCGTCCGGATCGTTCTGCCGGCTCTGCCGGCTCCTCCGGCTCAGCCGCCATGTTACCGTTACCGCTTCTCCTCCTAGACGGTAAGGGCCTCAGTACCCATCCCTTGGATTTAGGTCACCTATAACCTCATCTCGTTCCACGTAAAATTTGGGCTTTGTCGGTATTGGGGTCTAGGTGTGGCACTCATTGCAATTCCCCCTTATCCAAAAATTGCAAAATTAAATGCCAATTATTTACCCTACGGAAGGAATTATGGGAAAAATTTCTACAGACGGCTTTCCAAAAGTCATATGTGTAGATTTCAAATATGACCTTGGATTTGACCTTTGACCTTAATTTCATGGCACATTATTGTAACTCCAATATTATAACATTTAGTCCCTTATATCTCCAAAACTGGCAGAGATAGGTGCATAGTTACTATTGAAGTTAAGGATGTCATATACTGGCAATCTAAATTTGACCTTGAAATTTACCTTTGACCTACGTTTTATCATGAATTGAACTTTGCAAATTCTGGTTCCCTTTTATCTCCAAAACTGACAGAGATAGGTCCTTAGTTACTATTGAACTTGAATAGGAAGTCATATACTGGCAATCTTAATGTGACCTTGAAATTGACCTTTGACATACTTTTCATCATGATTTGAACTTTGCAAATTTTGGTATCCTTTTATCTCCAAAACTNCTTTTCACCATGAACTGAACTTTGCGAATTTTGATTCCCTTTTATCTCGAAAACTGGCAGAGATAGGTCCTTAGTTACTATTGAACTTGAATAGGAAGTCATATACTGGCAATTTACTGTGACCTTGAAATTGACCTTTGACCTACTTTACGATGAATTAACTTTGATTGTACCATTTTAAGTTATATATATTTTTTGCATATTTTGAAAATTCTTGTTGATTGCATTTTTACAGCTTGTCAAGCACAAGACTGGTGGCTGTGTCCCTTACTTTGTGTATGTGGGGGTCTATACGAATGCACTTGCTCCAGCTGGTGGTACAATATTCGGAGGCGGTATCGCCTCTCTGATCCTCTAGTTAATATAATAATAAACAATCTCACAAAACACAAATCTGATCAAAGTTTTACATAGAACCTGCTTCTATACATTAATCTAACCCACTGAGACTGTCTTTAAAAGCACATAAATATTATTCGAATTGCTGAAGAAAATTCAGCTAGCTAGCAGGATTTTGAGAAACCGATTAACAAAAATCCTCACACATTCAGACTACTGCAGTTATTCGAATTGGGACCTATTTATTATAGTAAATGATGTGTTAACAGGGTATAATTCTTTTCTATTTTTATAGTAGTTCTAAGTGGGAAAATCATACATCCTGTTAGTGTACTGTTTGAGTTGTGATCTTTCAGTCTTTGGCATCGTTCACTTGAAAAATCCAAATTTCCAAAATCCATTGAAGGTATCTAGTGATCATGGTCTGTGCCCTGAATACCCCATGGCGTTATTAACTAGCAGAGCTAACGAGTTACTTCCGAAGCTGTAATTAAATCTCAGTTGCACTCTGAGGAGATTCTGACACCTGGACGTATAATAATTTTGAAGGATGAGGACGAACTTGTCATGAGTGAAATATGTTCATGCAAATATGTTTTTGTGAGAATAATGAATGCAATTCATCTTGAAATGATGAGATAAGGGAATAAGTATATGTCTGAAGTTCATGAGTGATTTTATTAATTGTCATCTGCATGATATTATGTAATTTTTCAACCAAATCTGTTTATAAAAAGAGAAAATTATTTCAAGATTGTTCAAGAGGTATATATATTAAAGACATTGGCTTTATTTTCAATAGGAAATAAACAATAACAGCTAAATTTATAATAATTCATTTTTTTTCAGTGAAACAATTAAAAAAGTATGAAACAAAAAGAATACTGTGAACAGACAAGACACCAACTGAAGGACAAGCGGCTTGCAATGAAATGTCTTCTGCTTGAACATTCCAAATTAAGTTTATTGAGAAAAAAATTACTTAATTGGCATTATTACTGGTACTGTTTGTAGCATTTGTCGGCCTTTGATCTTGAATATTTGCAGATTCTAATATTCTAAAACTTGAGAAATACACACATACACACACTCACACACACACACACACACTAATAGAATAACAGAAATGTTTTTCACAGTGACTAGAATCTGAGATAGTTTACTTGGAACATACAACACAGGTTATTTCTTTCCCAGATAGATAACTAGGACAAGGCAGTGACCCGCACTGTGCTTCCACTATGTAAAATAAAGCACCATTTTGGTCGCCATCTCCCCCGTCCATTACCTCTGGGGCCTTGTCCACACAAACAAACTGAGATTTCTGATGTTTGTTATGGGAGGACATAAGATAGCCATCGTACTCCTTTGTCCAGCTAGCTGGACAGGTCATTTTGGCTGGAATCATGACCTGGCTGGACCTTGAAGGGATGCGACAGACAGCACAACGTGGACTCTGGTCATGCACTGTTGTCAGCTTTGGAGTGTTGTGAGTGAGGAAGGGGTTGTTGGCTTGTATTTCGTACTCTACTCCATAGAGAAAGGAGTTAGATTGGAACCCGTCTGTGGTAACCCCCCATTCAGGGTCATGAGGAACACACAGGTAGTCGCTGCCTCCCCCACTGTGGGTGTAGTGGGATCCCGCACCAACTCCTGGAAGAGAAGTGGAAAGTTGTAAAATAAACATTTTTACAGCTTAATATAACTATATACCTCTTGTTTGTGCCATGGGTGTATCATAGTGGTGGTTTTATGGCCAAATTACATTTCACTTAGTTAACTTTGTATTTTTTATCGTTTATTGTCCAAGTTTGTTATAGTTTCTGAGTTAATATCATATAAACTGAATCTTTAAATATAATCAACTGTCAGATGTAATCAAGTTCTACAGGGTGCTTTCAGCTATAAAAGTACTTTCAAATAACTTCAATCATGGCTTCACATTATAATTAATTTCAAAGTTAAAATCAGCATCAGTCTTAAGATTTCTTCTGTGAATGGGCTTCAGTATCACATTTGCCAAGGGGGGGGGGGGGGATCAAAATTTGTTGATTAATGCAGTCCAGAAGAAAACAGTAACATTATTATGATGCTATATGAAAATTCTTACCATTATACACCAGTTCAGCTCCTTGTGGACAGGTGCTTCTTCCCCAACGGATGTAGGTGGCACCACCATTAGTACCTGCGAAGTGATGTTTTTTTTCTCAATAATGTTATTTGATATTGTTTGTATTTTCAAGATAGGTAATGCTCATGCAGAGTATGTGAAAGATTTATAGTACTTCATATGAGGTCATTTGAGTCGGGTCTGTAACACTATAGTTCTTCAAAAAAATAGAGAGCATTAACAATGCATTTTAAGTTGCATATTTTTGGTCAATCCCTTTAATCTACATTTTCCAACAGATTAAATTTATATGATACACTGTATACTACAAGACAATGTTTTTAGTGAATTTTGTTCAGTTTTTTTTTTACTACTTAAGTCCTGTTGAATGTGTATCTGGTGAGGTATTTCTAGGAAGATGTTGGAGAGCTGTACATGTACATTATAGTGTTTTGTAAAGTTTATACTTACCAGCAGAATTCGGGATGCTCCTTCTGTGTCTGATTGATGTTTTATTGGCTGATGTGTCTTCTTGTTCAGTCCTTTCTTTTTCTTCACTGCTGCATTCATGCAGTTTATTATGGAGCAATACAACTTGTTTCTATAGAAAAAAAAATAGTGATGAAATACACTGTTTATGTATATATATGAGCAAATTCAAATAAATAATTGATAAACATTTATTCATGACAGTCTATATAGTTTTAAATGTTATCCAATAAGTATTTTATGTGGGTTTTCTGGATCCTGGATTTAGTCACACAAGTATACATACTTGGATCATAATTTTGATTTTTTGTTCATTTCTCTAAAACCTGCACTTACTGCTTGCATTTCAATTTACCACTTCCATCTTCTTTTCATATGTATGATCTTGCTTCATAGACGTAAGCTTGGGAGTAATTTAAATCTCAAATTAATTTTAATTACCTGCAATTCTCTTGCCAACTGCTTCAGCTGATTAATTTGTTTCTGTTGTTTGTCTTGACTACGGTATTTCTTAAGCTCTTTCAGCATTTTAGTGACTTCTTTGTCATTAATCAGACTTATTTCACCACCCTCTTCTTCTTCATCATCAATAATATAACGATGTGCCTGTGCCTTGTAAGAGAGGAGAAGTATCAAGGCAAAAATGTAAAACACTGATAGAATATGCAGCTTCATTTTGAATGTGATGATTTACACAACAGAAATATATAGCTTTCCTTTTTTGCTGCTGGCAGCTGCAGATGTTGCACGTGTGTGGAACATGTAGGAATTGGTTTGGTCCTTTTATACTAGCTGTCAGTCATGGGAGTAACCATGGCAGTGACTTATTTCCTTATAGGGATCGTGTGATATTGAAGGGGAAATTCCCAAATCCTGTTTATGTAGCTGTAGATAGGTGTAATGGGTTTAATCTTTGAAACAGTTATGTATGACAATTCTCTTGATGGATTGTACTTTCTTTCTATTATTATGTTAAGNACCTTTGACTTACTTTTCATCACGAATTGAACTTTACACATTTTAGTTCCCTTTTATCTCCAAAACTGGCAGAGATAAGTCCATAGTTACTATTGAACTTGAATAAGAAGTCATATGCTTGAAATTTACTGTGACCTCGAAATTGACCTTTGACCTACCTTACAATGAACTGAACTTTGATTGTACCATTTTTAGTTATATATATTTTTTGCATGTTTTGAGAATTCTTGTTGATTGCATTTTTTACAGCTTGTCAAGCACAAGGCTGGTGGTGGTGTCCCTTTTGTGTATGTGTGTGTGTGGGGTCTATACGAATGCGCTTACTCCAGCTGGTGGTACAATATTAGGAGGCGGTATCGCCTCTCTGATCATTTAGTTATCAATGTTGTTAAAATTCATCATTTGCACACGAGCACTTATTTGATAATCCGACACGGAGCGTTTCCAGTTGTGCCGGGGCGGTTCCAGGGATATTTGTAGGGGGCGGGGTCCGCGCATGCAAAGCCGAACGTCCCCCAGCTCCTTGGTGTGGGGTTGGGGGCCCACTGAAGGTTCCCGAAAAAATTGGTATTTTAGAGGGCTAACGGTGGCATTTTGTACGTTTTATTACTATGATTCAGCTAGTCAAAATGATATTTTCAAGGGGGGGGGGGCATTGTGTGTTTTTTTTTCAGAGATCGAAGGAGGAGTCAGGACCCCCCTGAACCCCCCTAAATCTGCCACTTAATAGGGTTCACACGGAAGGAGGGGGTGGCGGGTGGAGGGAGGGGTCGCTCACCTCGGGGGTGTGTGGGTTGAGGGGTGATGGGTGAAAGTTACACAGATGAGTAGGTTTGAAGTGATACATAAGTAGAAACAAGCGAAATGAATTGAAACACACTTATAGAATTTTAATTTAAAATATTAAATGAATGTTCCCCTTTGAAATATAATAGTTTCAATTTTGTGTATAAAGCGAAAAAAAAAAGATTATTATCAACATTTGATCATGATAAATTTAAGTGAAAACATCCCAGTCGTCTATATGTAAAAAAAAAAAAAAAAAAAACTAGTAATGTGGGTAGGCCTACCTTCGGTGCTACTTTTAACTAACGCTTTTTTTTAATTTTATTCCTTTTCAGTACTACTTTGCCCAATATTTTAACCTGACCACATTATTTCAGAATGATTTTATGTACATTAGAACGGTTTAATTAAGTGCTTTTATTCTGTGAATTATGTCTGCGATTTCATTTATGTAGGCTATTCTTGAACGTTTTAAACCCTTGAGGTTTAAAGAATAAATAAATAAACAAACAAATAAATGTTTATATCTATCTCAAGGTGCGAGCCTCTATGTATGACGCACAGAGCACGGATCCAGCAGCGCCAGCGACGACTGTTGACGAACAGAATGACGACAGCAACGCAGAAAGTGCCACCTTACTCACCCCTAGCGGACGCAAGACGATAACAAGATACCCCTCGCTCAAAACTTACAAGGTGAAAAGTCAATAATAAATATATGTGAGAGCATCATCACCACATGGACTGTTTTTTGTGACACTTGCTTCAGTCTTGAAGAAATTTGCTCGATTTATTTGTTATGGAGACGATTGTCTTTGGAAAATTTAGATTGGAAGAGAAAGAGCTAAAAAATGTTAAACTTAAATTTTCACAGAAATTGTTATTGTTTTACTCAGCATTTTTTTCTTAATAAAGGCCTCGTTGCCATAAAGGCTATATTTCTATCATATTGAAATATATAAATTTGCTTAATCTATTAGTATTTTTATTATTCTTCTTTACAAAGGACTTCGAAGATCATTAAATATTTGAAACCCAGCGCGAACTGGAGTGAAAACAACAGGAAGAAGACTCTCTCTTTAAGAAATTCCACTTGCAAAAGGAAGCGCGCATGAAGAAGCTTGTGGAAGAGATTATGGCAGAAAAAGAAACCTCTGTCAAAGAATTCGTCGCTCTCCTCTACAGGTTAGGAATGAAGAGTTCTAGCCGAATTATCAAAGGGACCCCATTAGTTTGGAAAGGAGCCCCCAAAAGCGCAGCAGACGACAGAGGGGCTGAAGATGACGACGATGATGACGTCATCACCGACGGCCAGAATCTGGATGACGAAGCTTTTGAAGGAGATACAAGCGCGACCAGCTTGCTGGAGAAAAGTAAGCACATTGATGACGAATACCAAAGCCGTCTTGACGAGAGAATGCAGGAGCTGATGCGATCTCTAGAACAACAAGAGCAAGAGGAGCTTGCCAAGCTGGTGGAGAACACAGCAAAGAGATGCTATCACTGATAGCTGAGAAGGTTAGACTGTAATAATAATATTCTTTATTTATTGTAAAATCCATAAAAAAATGTTCAGTAAATATAACATGTGTAAAATGAACAGAATAAGATGAACAGAATAAAGTCAACTTTACACAGGATGTACGATTCAGCCGATTTGTGTAAGGCATCGTAAAGCTCACCAAATCGTGGAGACCAGGGCAAGTTGGACCCCAGGGTAAATTAGCCTCCCGTCAATTTACGAAAAGTAACTACGAGGTAAAAAAATAATTAGCCACATACTCTTGTAAAGTGACCGTAGCCTACAATGCTAAGGAAGTGTCCGACGTTAAAAAATTTTACTTAAGCGGTGAGTCGGAATAAACGATTTTTGCACCTAAAAGTAATTTTGTTTTAAAGATTAAGAAATCTATTTTCATAGGCTTTTGATCGAATATAATAGGCTATATGTTTAGGCCATCAAACCGAAGCTGATTGTTTCAAGTTTCACAGAGATGTATGATCGTTGCTCATTCTAGCACCATAAATGGCTGCCATCCTTTAAAAAAAATGCACTCGGGGCTAGTTGTCCCCCCTTGACTCGGGGCAAGTTGGACCCTCATATTACCCACAAACCTTGGCGAGCAACAGAGTTAGAGACTATTGTTGAAACAAACTAGTTTAAAACTGAATTTGTTACTTTCTTTTAAAACGAAAAGTTATAATTCGTTTTCATTCATTAAGAACTTGATTTATACCATTATTAATTTATTTTTAATTAAAACAAAATAAATTTTATTGATTAATATTTTGGTTCTTGCAACACATACAACGTGACGTACAGAAACCTCAATAAATCTGCCTCATTTGAACTATTTATTCATCAAAGACTCTCAAAAATCAATTTAATAAATTTAAAATGTATTCCAAGGTGTTTACATGGGATACTTACTTCATTTTCGTATAGGGTGCCAACTTGCCCTGACCCTGGGGCCAACTTGCTCGTGGTGGGGCAAGTTACCCCCCTCGACGTAGACCTATAACATCTTCTTTTTTGAGTTATACAAGGGGGGGTTCGGTCTAGATTTCCTGACTAATTAAATGTTTGAAAATTTAATGAAATATACTTTTGAAAGACAATTGAAAAGAAAAATAATAAACGGTCCCCCTCGTATTGAAAGCGTTTACGTATTTTAAAGCTGCCATTATCTATACCCCAAACCTACTCTAGATACAGCGAAATCTCGCTTGATTTTACGAACAGTTTGAGTCATCCCGGAGAGTTTCCGGCCCCATAGTTTGAATATCCCAGAGGTAAGTGTGCTAGTGCTATCAAAGTGAATACAGCTGTTGCAATAGAAGCAGAGGACTAAATTGTGATAGTGGTGAAATTCAAGTCGTGGGCACATTATATGCATGTGTATTTGTATATTTTCATAGGATGTTTATGCCCATTTATCTCAAATTGATGAAGTTTAAAATAGATATAGTCACTTATTTTAGCTATTTTTAACGTGAAATTCTTATTTTATTCATTATGACTCTATTTGGTAATAGTGTAGCGTATTAATGTCTTTAATTTTTATTCGTTTATTATTTTATTTTATTTCATTTATTTATTTATTTATTTATTTATTTATTTATTTATTTATTTGCATCTCTACAAGGCGGTTAAGTAAGCAGGATAATTAATTGACTGGTTCACAAAGTTTCGTTTTTTCTTTCTGCTTAGACACTATGTTTCCACCTTGTGGGACTCATAAATGGTAAACTCTCCCTACTTGTTATGCAGTGCTTCTTAGAAACAGTGTTGTTTAGAATTTACAATAACCACATTCGCAAGGATAATCCCATAGCGCGGCATTTTGGTTTCGGGGTTTTGACCACAGCCCCCCACCACATATATGATCTTTATGTAATCTTTATATGATAAATGAGCCAGCCATGTGTTTCTTAACTCACAATAACACGTTGAAACATTTCAGGAAAGAGCAATCGACACAGAGAATGATTTCAACAGATCTTTACCGCCAGATGTCGCTCCACCAGAGGTTAAAAAGATGGACTTCTTTGAAAAGTCGGATTCTGCTGTCCAACGCCTCGATATGCAAGCGATCGAGGTCAGTATTGTATGGCTTTATTTATTTATTTATTTATTTGAATGCGTTTCGATTATATGAATTTTCGCCATTCACTTAACCACAGGGTATTCTAAGCCTTTTTTATCATCCAGATGCCGAAATGTAGTTTTTTTCCTGCATCTTATTATTCAACAATGCACTTATCTTTGTTTTGATTTAAAACAATAAAAAAAACCCCCAAAATATAATCTATCGGTGTGGGGCGTAACTTCATCCCTAAAAACAGATTTTTTAAAATTAAACAAAGACATTATTTTGCTTTATCAACGATAAAATCTGAACAAAGACTTTTAAAACGAATCTTTGGCAGGATTTTGGAGTACTAAATGGTGTCATTAAATTGGCGTTGAAGCGGTGTTCGTAGGTTGTCAGGTAAAGGAGAAATTTGCGAAACCAATCTTTCAATATTTTATCACAAAGCCGCAATTATGACCTCACTCGTAAAATAACATACGTGTAAATGTTAATTAATTAAGTCACTGAACACTAAAGATTTATCTATTATCCAAACGAATGTATGTGAGGCAGTTAATGAGGAGCTTTGGCAAAGGCTAACAGTATCCGTAACTAAAAGAAAAAACAAAAAAATGTTTCTTTTAGACTCTTCCTACCTCAAAACGCCTACATTAGTGAATGAACCTGTGCAGATGCCAAGACGAAATAAAACTTACAGAACGGTATACAAGTGTCAACGTTGACTGATTAAAATAAATCTATTTTATCTTGATTATTTAAATATCTATTGATATTCTTATTTTTATTGATCAGTAATTTTATTTGAATTCTATTTATTGATCTAACGCTTCGTGCGTTGCCAGGGTAGATAATAAAGTTTGACCTTTAAAAAGGATGAAAGTCGATCACTGTGTGATGCAAGAACAAAACATGCTTGTATAAGTCTATAACACATGCCTTCTGGAGGAAAGCAGCCAGACGTGTCTTATTGTGTTGCTTTAGAAGAAATAACAATGAGTCCATTTGAAAAATATATACCTTCAGCAATCAAAACATAGATTTGCCACAAAGTCTTATTTTAAGTAAGGTGTGTTGAAGAATCATGTTCTGGAAGTGGACAGAAGAAGCTAGTTTTATAAGGGGCGTACGTCAGTGAAACCATTGTACGAGAGGGTATAGCAGCCTTTGACAGGAATAGTTGTCCGCTAGTGAACCATATACAGTTCCCCATTTAATTTTGAACAGGTGACATTCGCCCCACATACTAACCCCAATACTCCGACTAACCCTAATCTGTACTAGCCTTATGAGAGTCCTGACTTCCATTCCTAGGACTACCATTCCTGTCACACCGGCTAACCCTAACCTGTACTTATCATATGGGAACCTGGACTTCCATTCCTAGGACTACCAGTCCTGTCACAAAGCCAAGCCAACCGTATGGCTGGTACTCTCTGACCACAGGGTGCGCTAGTATTCTGGTACAAAATTGTTGAAAACCCAACAGTGTGATTCTGTACAGTATTTTAGTGGGGTTGTGATATCAGAGGGTATATGGTGGGGTGGGTGGGTGGGGGGGTTGGCTGGGGTGAGGTGTAATCTACACAGGGTGGCAGATGGAGGTTGAGATAAAATATGTTCTGTTTGGGCTTAATAACCAGGCTAAGAATTATCAGTACATCGGCTGAATACCCTACGAGAGCAACGAGAGGAGGATGAAGAGTTTTTTTTTTCTATCCAGGACAGTAGGGAACTGTGAGACTAAGCAATAATAATAATAATAATAATAATAATAATAATAATAGGAGGGTTGAAATAAAAATGTTTGGTTTGGACTACCTACCAAGGCTACGGATTCTCCGTCCACCAGCTGACTACCCAATGAGAGCGACGAGTGGAGTTGGGAGGGGACAGGATTTATCTATCCAGGACAGGGGTGCTGTGAGACCAAGAATTTCCTGCTTCGTTTACCTACCAAGGTCCAGAAAAGATGAACCTTTATTATGTGTACAGCAGCAGAAAGCTCTGCCAGGGAGACGCTACGTTTGTTACGTCGTCAGCTGTAGTTCATTAAAAAATCTCACGAATCCTCACGAATCCTGAAATTTGTCGATTCCTGGCGATTCGTGGGATTCGTGGTCTGTGTGAAATAGGGGCATAATCCAATTAAAAAGATTTGTTCCGTTAAGACATAATTTTAAACTCTGACAAACCGTACAGCCAAACTCGACTTTTGAAATAAATTAAAATGAACAAAAAAAAAGCAATATTTGAATATATATAAAAAAAAAAAAAAAACAATGAAATGTTTCATAACTATGAAATGCGACAGACATATCTTGTTGAAAACATTTTGACGTTGGCGACGCAAACAGGAAATGTGGCTTCTGTGCACATATCCCCAGTGAAATTCATAACCGTCGTTACAAGCTATTGCTTCAATTTTAGTAAAAATCTGTCAGTATTCATCACCAGACCAAATGTTAGTGAGTGAGACGTCTGCACCTGGGCATTATGGCCAATTTTGTGACTTTTTTGTTGTTTTGACAAAGTCACGCAATTAAAACAGCAGTTCCACTCTACGACGAGATTGACTCACTTTCCTTACCAGGCGTTCATTCGTATATTCTCTTGTAATAAATAAATAAATAAGTAAATAATTACAATGGGCTTAATTGTAGAGAGAAGGATTTTTATCATATTGTTACATTTTTACATTATTCATGCTTCTTGATATCCTTGGGGACAGGTTGTTTTCCTTCTTCAAGCGGGGTATGACTAAGACTTTTTTACTATTGTTATTAAAGGTTGCGAAATCCGACGATTTGACTACATTTACAGACCTTGTAAGGAACCTAACCAAGGACTGCTGTAACGAATTAGAAAAAGCAAGGTACTAATCATTCTTATTATTTAACATTACTGAAGGTCAGCATTGAATTCTGATATCTGTTTTATTTGATTTTATTTATTTTGATTTTAATTAATTTTAATTTTAATCTTATTTATTTATTATTTTCCTGAACAAACACACACTGAGCATGATTGCAATTGCATATTAGAAAAATGACTGATTTTTTTAAAGAACATTTGCCTATTTTATCTCATATAATACTTAGTGAAATTCTTAGGGCAGATGCAACATCATTGATTTTAACATTTCTTTAATCTGTTTTTGCGCTGTCTAAACCAAGGTGCACGTTTGTTTAACGTTGTTAATGTTACATGCTTTCAGAGCCATATTCCGTTGGATTACCGTAAAGAACCTGAACAAGATGGAGTTCAGCGATGACCTTGACCCAGACACTCCCCTGGGACTGCTTAGAGGGATCAAACTGGGGATTGAAAGTTATCATGTTCTTTTTAAACGACTATGCAGGTAAACCTCAGTGCCTCTTTTGTCTCATGAAACTCTATACCACTTTCAGTGAAAATTTTATTCGAGGAAACCACCTGCAACGTCGAGGGTGGGCTAAACTGTATTCTGGATTCTGGGTTGGGGGGGAGTTGGCATAGCAAGTACCCCTCAATCTTATCTTTGGTGGTATCCACCTCTTCTTCTTATTTTTCTTGAACTTCTTTTCTTCTTCTTTTCTTTTCTCAAGGAAACCCTGTGCCCTCATTCTAACAGTGAACTGAATGTATCCGTCGAGTCTTTCTTCATTATGACTGCTTATTTTCGGGGATTCAATTAAATTGATGTAACTTTTTATTATTTATTTTTGTCATTTCAAAAACATTTTTTTAGACATTTATCTAGTCTTTGTTCCTTAAAGCTGCCTTTTTTCGGGAAGTCAATTAAAAGTCATTGTTATTGTTTTTATTTTTTATATTAGTTACGCTGGAATTCACTGTGAGATCATCCGTGGGTACTCGAAGGGTTCTGGCTACAAGGCTGGTCGTAAAATGTCCAGGCGCTTCAGAAATTCCTGGACAGCGGTCTGCGTGGACGGGTCTTGGCACTTCATCAACTGCCAATGGGGTGCACGATTCACCAGGGGGAAACATTTTGAGGACGAACTAGGTCAAGGTCAGATCACATCACCAGGTCAAGGTCAGGGGAATGTCATCAACGAAGAGCTTCAATATCGGTGTGAGGAGTTTTATTTTCTCACAGACCCCGAAGATCATATTTTTGAACATTTTCCGGACGACAAAAAGTGGCAGCTAATGGAGCCTGCCATTTCCATGGAGGAATTTATTAGACTCCCGGTGGTAAAGGCGCCATTTTTTAACAAAGGCCTGCGCTTCGCAACCCGGTACATATCGATTCTATGGACGCACTCCGGCAGGGCTGAGGTGAGAATAGGAGTGCCGAATGCCAGTCGGGCAGACTTTGCCGCTAAAATTGACCCACACCACCCCCCGTCTGCAGCTAGTCGAGAATCGGGGACAGGAAGCGTTCTTTGTCGAAGAATCGACAACGAGGTTCTTTTCACTGCCAAAGTCCCACAACCAGGCATATACTTTTTGAAAATATTCGTAGCAGACGACCCTTCGACCACCATGGAATGCGCATGCGTGTTTCAGATTAACTGTACTGACGTCGACAAATCTTCTAGCAGACGTCATTATCCAAATGTACACATTTTGGGTGCCACTGCACATGCCAAGGGCTTGGGCATTTCTCCTGTAGCTCGTTTTGACCCATACGTTGTACATGACAAAGAAAGTGATTATTGTTTTCGAATACTTACAAAAAGAAACTGCCGAATTTCGCATACTTTCGTATATTTTGGGAAATCGGTGTCGTCCGCTCTGGAGAACACTCAGTTCGCCATGATCTACGAAAAAGACCCAGATCACGTGGGATTCAGATTAAGAATGATAAAAAACGGATTTTACATGCTTTCTGTTTTCGCTGCGGAATTAGACTTGAATGTATCCCAAATCTCAGTTTCGCAGTCGGCAGTGGAAGACCAATTTGAGTGTGTTTACCGCGTGCTTGTTCGCTGCTCTGTGCCGTCTATGGAACAATGCCCCTTGCCCATCGCGTTAGGGCGCTGGGATGTAGGGGTTTTGGTCAGCACTAGATCATATACGGCAGCGGGACGGAAGTGAGTAATCCAACATGGCGGTCCCTAGCGACGAGATGCTAAGGCTGACGGTCGAATGTTGTAGTGCCGATCAAAACACAGTTCAATTGTTTTTTTTAATCGTATAATAACTAGGAATATAGCATATAATTTTTATTTACTTTTTAATTTATCTTTTTATTTTTTAATCGTATTATACCTGGGATTTTGTAAACTTTGCGATTTAAATAAAGTAGATGAGTTCCATCTCCTGCTAGAGTGCAAAGCATACATGTATGATTCAATACGTGAGGGCAGCTGTCAGAGTTCCTACCCCTAGGCGACTTCAGCTTTAATGAACTGTATAATTTTCTTATGGGTGCTCAAGACTTAAATATTCTTAGAATGGTTATGCGTTTTGTAAATAGAGTAGATGCTTCCAACAATGGGAACAAACTCTCTCTTATCGCCTGTAGATTATCATTACACATTTTATATATATCACTTTATAAACTCATTTATTAGTATTATTATACATTTATCTAATTGGGTCTAAATGCGTTTCCACGTCCTGCAAATTTACGTATCTGTAGCTGGAGTTGTCTGTTTTACCTCTATGATTGTACTTTGGCCCATTTTTAAACACGTATTCATCTATATCGCATCAAAATCATATGTATATTTATTCATTTACTTGTTTGTACTCTGCTATAGTTAGATGTACTGTCTTTGATTGTACCTTATTTGTGAAGGTGTATCAATAAAGAATCCCTAGGGATATAGCATACATGTATATTTTCCTAGATATTTTGCTGTAAAACTACATCCTATAAATGTCTCGGCGGCGCCACTCGGAACTACTCGAATGTCTCCGCACTCGACAATAAGTATGGTTAGTATGGAGCTTGCGGAATGAGCCGAGGATTGCCGATTGCGGCGGCGCTGGGGGCCGCCATGTTGGATTACTCACTTCCGTCCCGCTGCCGTATATGATCTAGTGCTGACCGGTTCTCCATCACCCTTTCACGGGGGTCCTTGACGCCGGAAGCCTGATTAGTTTCAAACTTCAGGTTCCAGGAGCGCTGCAGGTCTCCGCCATGGTGAACCGGAAATGGCAACCGTTGCCTAGCGACGGGGACACGTGGGATGGAACAGTTTATACAGGAGAAGGTCCCGGGAAGTTGAAATTGTGCGCCAAGTATGACGAATCAAGGGGGAAATATATCCCTCTGTTTGAGTACACCGTAATCTAGCTGAAAGATGGTAGAATAAGACCGTTCAATTTAAAACGTTTTTATAATAAAATGTTGTGAAGTCAACCCGTCCCAATGCACCAGATCCCCTTACAATACACGGCTAAGGGCAGA